TAAAGCAGCACATCTCAAATATCCAATAACCACTGAAGTAAGTTGATCATTAAAACAGCATGCCTAAAATAACCAATAACCATTGAATCTAGTCGTCCATGAAGGCAGCATGCCTAAAATAACCAATAACCATTGAATCTATTTGATCATTAAAACAGCATGCCTAAAATAACCAATAACCATTGAATCTAGTCGTCCATTAAGGCAGCATGCCTAAAATAACCAATAACCATTGAATCTAGTCGTCCATTAAGGCAGCATGCCTAAAATAAACAATAACCATTGAATCTAGTCGTCCAATAAGGCAGCATGCCTAAAATAACCGATAACCATTGAATTTAGTCGTCCATTAAGGCAGCATGTCTCAAATATCCAATAACCATTTAGTTGATCATTAAAGCAGCACATCTCAAATATCCAATAACCACTGAAGTAAGTTGATCATTAAAACAGCATGCCTAAAATAACCAATTACCACTGAATCTAGTTCATTAAAGCAGCATGTCTCAGAGAACCAATAACTATTTTGTCCAGTTAATCATTAAAGCAGCATGCCTCAAATAATAGCTCTTAAACATGCATATTTCCATATTTTTTTTACATTTTTTACTAAGTAGTAGTACTTCTTCCTAAACAAATGGCTTTTAACACTTTGCTAACAACTGAGTTTTGAAGAATTTAAGCAACAATATAATACCGGTTTACTGATCAGAAGCTCATAAAAAATTTTTTAATAGTACATTTCCAAAAACCCCTAATTATCACTAACTCTACAACTGCTGAAATTTCTTAAATGGGCTAACCATGCTTCAATAGTGGAACTGTCCATTATAAAATATGAGGATATTTTACCATGTTCAGCCAACTGTATCAAGTCAAGATATATTGCACTCAAGTACAGATTGGCCTGGCTCTATACTGGGTTCTGAAGGCTGTTTTCATTTCATCATTGTAAGTGCGAAATTTTTCACAAATATAGAGCTTGCTAGATCAGTGTTTTGTTTTTGTTTGTTTGAATTTCAACAATTTCTGTACAGAATATTACTAGTAACTCTTTTACAATGCTGGAACCAAAATGTTCAGTCTTTTCAGTCTGACCGGGCTTCATACTTGTGGTATCCCTTTTTTTTGTATTTTGATACTAAAATCCCTTATACTTGAAATGGACTGTTCCAAATTCATAGCAGGGCTAAACCCATTATACAAATCCGGCAGGTAAAGGTATAACACCAGTCTATTGACATAAAAAAAAATAAAAATATTAGTTTAGAATACAAGTCGACACAAATGCAACCATAAGATGATGACACTTTAAATACTAATTTTCAGTTCATATAACAGAACTTCCCTAAACATAAACAAACCAACAGTATATTCCTATGTGTTAAGTATAATTATCAGCAAACACAGAGAATAAAGTGTTAATTCAAATTCTGAAAACCAGCTTTAATTATACATGTCATATTTGAATAAATTATCATTATTTTCACACTTCATGCTTCTTTTCCTGTTTCGACAAAAAAAATATATATATATACCGAAACAAAAAATTAAAATAAATAGAAAGTTCAAACTAGCACAAGAAGTTGTGAAACAAAATAAAATCTAGATAAACAGTAAATATAACTATGTGTTTTTGTTTTCCATATCAGACTTAAATAAATATACTGCCAAACATTTTCTCTTTTAAAAAAATTAAAATCCTCCAAAATATTCAAACATTACTCAAACTGCTTAGGGTAACCCATAACCCGCTGAAATTCTTAAACAGACTTGCCCAACATCTCCATAATAAATTATCAATAGGTTATGGAATATTAAGGTGAAAACTTACAGTTAATCAGCCACCAGTATAGAGCCTGGTGTGGTCAGACTGCACGGATGCGCAGGCAGGCCTGGCTCTACGCTGGTGGTAAAGGCTAGTCACTTTCAGCTCAAGCAGGTAATGGGTTAAGAATGGCCCAGAACAACTATCCCATCCATTTTCTTTTCTATATGGCAAATACACAGTACATCATTTCTTCATCAGAACACTTTTTTGTGCAATTAGAAGTAATTACTAGAAATAGGCACCAAATTTTATGATCAATAGCAAAACCACAAAAATTGACAAATCCTTTTTTTTCCATGTCACAATGCATGTACATGAACAACTTTCATTATTTATGTGTCATCTTGGCATTAAATAACATGTATAAACATTCTTCTGTCAAGCTCTAGATAGTTAAATGAAAAAGTCCAGAAGCTTTTCAAGATAATGATATCAATGTATGGGTCTTAATATGATGTGATTACATAACAAGACCAAAAGGATGATATCATAATCTTTTTTAAAAAATCTCGCATTTTTTCCAGTTAGGAAATTAAGCACTGTCAAATGCCATTATATGTCTATTTATCTGTGTATGCCAATTCTAACCCAAGCATGTTTCAATAATGATTGCATATCAAGTGGATTCTAACCTTTAAAAGTAAACTCATAAAATTAAAATAAACACTGTCTGTTTTGAGAAGTAACAAGAGCATAAGCATTAAGAGCTGCTGCACCGAAAAAAAAAATTGAAAGTGATAAAAACTTTTTTTCGGGAAATACTCGCTCAAAAATCACAGTTCAAATAGCAGAATCACGTCACTACTGCGTGAATGATATCTCGCTGTCTAATGGTTGTTTCTCCGGGCCGTCAGACTGTTGTTTATGCTGCATGTTGTTGAATCTTTGCCGCAGTGTCTCCCGAAGTTCTTGCCTTTTCCGCATCAACTTTTTCTCGTTCGCTTTAAACCTCATGATCTCTTCTTCAGATATAACAGCCTCATCTTCAGACGAACAAAATTGCTGCAAGCAATAATATACGTGATGTACTAATATATATACACTGAATGAAAGAGAAAATATTTCTGTTATCATTTCCTACTCATCTATATTCGTCATTTTTTAAGGCTATTTTGTTTTGGGTTTTAAGTCACACTCTCACTTATGAACTTTTCAGCTTTACTGGTGAAGGAAGATCTCCTGTGCCGCTCCATGCATTATACAAACAGGCACCTGGGTAGAACTGACATTTCATCTGCTAGCTGGGTAGCTTCCTCACATGAAAGAATCCAGTATCCAGTCCTTGGCAGGATTTCCACCCACTGTGGTAAGAGCAAAGTTGTTCGAAAATCAACTACCTTGACAACTTGGCCACAGATGCCCCTAATTATTAATACTACTTGTTTAAAAAGATTTATATTTTCTTCTTTTTTTTCTAGGAATATAAAAGCTGATGTCATCTTCCAGACAAAATTTGATGTGCTATGTCAAAGCTTAACAAAATATGCCAAGTCTTTAAAACATATGCCAGATTTTAAAGAAATATGCCAAATTTAAAGAAATATGCCAAATTTTAAAGGAATAAGCCATATTTTAAAGAAATATGCCAGATTTCAAAGACATATGCCAAATTTAAAGAAATATGCCAGATCTTTGTAATATATGCCAGATTTGAAAGAAATATGCCAGAATTTTAAGTAATATGCCAGATTTTATAGAAAAATGCCAAATTTTAAAGGAATAAGTCATATTTTAAAGAAATATGCCAGATTTCAAAGTTAAAGAAATTTGCCAGATCTCAAAGAAATACACTTGATTTTAAAGAAATTGCCAAATTTTAAAGAATTATGCCAGATTTCAAAGAAATATGCCAGATCTTTGATACACATGACAATTCTGAAAGGACTTACCTCCAACATATCTTCTAAGCTGAATGTCATTTTGTATTGGCCTTGCTTTTCACAGTCACCTTTACATGTAGGAATGAAATAATCTTCACACTGAAATTATACAGTAAACAGGTGTTAATTAAATATTAAGCTCATGTTATCTTGACCTGCTTGAACCAAAAAAATTCATCTTTTGCCATCAGTATAGAGCTCCCAAAAAAAGATCATCTTTTGCCATCAGTATAGAGCTCCCAAAAAAAGATCATCTTTTGCCATCAGTATAGAGCTCCCAAAAAAAGATCATCTTTTGCCACCAGTATAGAGCTAGACCAGCTTGCACGTCCATGCAGTCTGAGCAGGCTATATACTGATGGTAGCTCGAATTTGGTTATATATTTTTATATCAAAATCCCTTAAAGCTGCAAGCCTCCAGATGAGTCAATAAGTGTCAAGAAAATCAAACTTGAGAAAAATGTACTACAGTAGAACTTCGGTAAGTTGAAGTTGAAGTGACTTGCATAAAAACTTCGACACATCGGGACTTCGACTCATGAATCGCTCTCAATTTCATGACAAAAATTTCTACCGTAATTAGTCCTAATTATAAGATCTATAACAGACATATTTCATGTTTTTCCATCATTAATCTGATATTTTCATTTTACAATGATAAATATAGCATGTTAAATAACATTTTATTTGTTAAATTAACAGATTATAGGTCACAAAGAGACTCTAGAGCTTTCAATGTTGAATAAAATTTCTTATCTACTATATACCAAGTTTTAAAAAAAAACAACATCTTTCTTCCTTTTGGATGAAATAGAGAACAGGGGTGGGTGACCATGTGGCATTTGTTTTCAGTTCTACCATGTTAAGAGTAACAAGAAAATGTTAATAATAGTATACAACTATTTTACTTGGCCATATATCATAGTGGTGGCTGTTTATTTGTAGTTTACCATCCAGATAAGAGTATACGCCACTTTGAATTCACTAGAGCATAGCTCAGCCACATCATCGTTCATGTGCAAGCTGTCAAGCAGTTTACAAGTACAAGTGCCTTCACTTTTGCAAGAAACTGATAAACTTTTGTACATTCCAGAGAAGAGGTAGTGTGATTGACCACAGAAAGGAATTTTTAATGATCAATCAACAAAAGTGACCTGCAACATTGGTAATCGAACCAAGGTTGCCCGATTCACAGTCAAGCACTCTTCCAATCAAGCTAACCAGACAGTCAATATATCCTGTCAAAAAAACATTGTTAGTACATCATTAATAGTGCAGACAGCATTACCTTGTTTCCTTTGGGAAGAGGTGAGGAAGCTCTTCCCCTCTCCGGGGACAGTTCTGACATTGGACATCTCTCTCTTCCCCTCGGATTACACACATGTATGTGATCATCTCCTGCAATAATAATAGATACTAATCTCTTATTACCAGTGGTTATTCCCCCAACTTTAATAAACTTGTCACATCTAGACCAGTTTCCGAAAAGGATGAAAAAAATATGTTTTACAGAAGTATTCTATATTGAAGTATTATCATTTTGTTCTAATAGGTGTTTGAGCAGACATATCAAGTAGATCTAGTGAGTCTTCTTACATGGGACTAGAAATGTGTCAGTTTAAGACGGGCAGGGGGGCCCATGATCAAGGGGGACAGCAGATGACAAAGTATATACCCCTTAGTTCACTTTTGGGGAAAAAAATTTGCTTCCGTAAGATTTCCCCCAAAAAAATTTTTTTTACCTCAAATTTTAGCACTGGTCCGGTGGTCCATGGCCAGTGTTAATTAGTTCAGGCCAGTGTAAATTTTAAGAAAATTTGGTTTAATATATAGTAGAATAAATTCAAACTGAAATTCGGGCCAGTAAATTCAAAACCTAAACTTCATTGACTGTATTTACAAGCTTTGAACCTTAAATTTCTTTAACATTTCATCACAATCAATGTAAATATAGCATCTCTACTGAATGAAATCAATAAAATCAATAGTTTACCATCAAGTCCCGTACAAACTCCGTCTGAGCATACAATATCCGAGCCGTCGTTAGAACTAGGCATACTACAACTCTCGCACCCGTCTCCGCATGATGAATAACCGTTATCACTACTTCGACTACCAAGTACCATTTGAGGTTTATGAGGCGGCCCCGTACTCGGAGACCGAGGATCACAGGTTCGCTCGCAACTCCTACAACTATTCATTGAAGCAACAGTGGTATTGGAATTGTGATCACCACAGTTGTGGTGTGAGCCGGTTGAGGTGCATGACTGTGGAGACTTCTTTGTCATGGAACATGCTGAGCTATCACACTGTAAATCATACAAAATATATATATCAGATACCCTGATGATTTTTTTTCAACACAGACGTAATTATAACAGATATGAAAGACTACAGGCAAAATAAAAACAACAATTTTTATTTGCCATTTGTTATTAGCTAGAGAAATATATAACAAAGTATTTATTTCTCATTTAGGATTTATCCAACAACTGTAAAAAGCCATTAATCAAAAGGCTGAAATCAAACAAGTCTGACACACTAAAGTGTTATTTCCATAATATTACCTAAAGGAGAAGTCAGAAATAATACCAGGGCTTGACAGATCTCTCAAAGTTCACAAGGGGGAATGTTGAAAATCTAGGCCATACAACATAACCTACATTATTATGTTCACATTACTTAGTTTTCATTACATACTACTACAACTACATAAGATTATACATTTTTACTATCTATTATGTTTTAATGACTAAATTACTACTATATTATTTACAATATTATGTCTAAAGTACTCAAATTTATGACCAAATTACTCATAACTTCATTATCTACATTATCATATCTACATTACTTACATCATTACAACCAAATTACATATACTGACATTACTACCATATTACTTACAGTTTAATGACCAAACTACTTACAACAACTATATTACTTACATTATAATGACTTCATAATTTACATTATTATGTCTCGATTGCTTAGATTTTAACAACTTCATAACTTACATTATTATGTCTCGATTACTTAGGTTATAACAACTTCATAATTTACATTATTACTCCTTGCTTACTTACATTATAATGCCTTCACAATTTACATTATTACGTCTTGATTACTAACATTATAATGACATCATAATTTACATTATTACGTCTTGATTACTAACATTATAATGACCTCATAATTTACATTATTACGTCTCAATAACAATGCAATAACATTATAATGACATCATAATTTACATTATTACATCTCTAATACTTACATTATAATGACATCATAATTTACATTATAACGTCTTGCTTACTTACATTATTATGACTTCACAATTTACATTATTACATCTGGATTACTTACATTATAATGACTTCATAATTTACATTATTACGTCTCGATTACTTAGGTTATAACAACCTCATAATTTACATTATTACTTCTCAATTACTTACATTATAACAACCTTATAAATTATATTATTACATCTTGATTACTTACATTATAACGACTTCATAACTTACATTATTACGTCTCGATTACTTACATTATAACGACTTCATAACTTACATTATTACGTCTCGATTACTCACATTATAATGACATCAAAATTTACATTATTACATCTTGATTACTTACATTATAATGACCTCATAATTTACATTATTATGTCTTGATTACTTACATTATAATGACTTCATAATTTACATTATTACGTCTCGACTACTTACATTATAATGACATCATAATTTACATTATTACATCTTGATTACTTACATTATAATGACATCATAATTTACATTATTACATCTTGATTACTTACATTATAATGACTTCATAATTGACATTATTACGTCTTGATTACTTACATTAAAACAACTTCATAATTTACATTAGTACGTCTCAATTACTTACATTATAACGACTTCATCATTTACATTTTTACGTCTTGGTTATTTACATTATAACAACTTCATAATTTACAATATTACGTCTTGGTTACTTACATTATAACAACTTCATAATTTACATTATTACGTCTTGGTTATTTACATTATAACAACTTCATAATTTCCTTATTACGTCTTGGTTACTTGCATTATAACAACTTCACAATTTACATTATTACATCTTGATTACTTACATTATAACAACTTCTTAATTTACATTATTACGTCTTCGTTACTTACATTATAACAACTTCATAATTTACATTATAACGTCTTGGTTACTTACATTATAACAACTTCATAATTTACATTATTACGTCTCGTTTACTTACATTATTACAATGATCATCTTCATCCTCTTCCTCTTCTAACACCAAATTCTCTTTTTCGTGTAACTGACCAGACTTTGCCTTCTTTTTCTTTTTACGCTGTCTTTTCTTCTCCTGACGTTGTTCACGTGCTCGCTCCTCCTCTAACAGCTCCTCGCACATTAACTCCAAATTAGATACACCCTGTTTACGCTCTAACGCCATCTGTATGTGGAATAAAGATAATACTGACATCAAAACTCTGGATTAACCTAAACATTGTGAATCAGTAGGTTTTAACTGATGTCACTTTGACAAAGCTTAAAAATATGACTTTATTGTAACAAAAACTAATTTTAGTATCAATGGCATAGTGTCTACCAAGTTGACTAGGAAACATACTATAAGGTTGAGCTCTATTGAAGAGCAAACACAAAAAATATCTTATTATTTTTTTTTTATTTCTTCTTTTACTATTAATTTTGTAGTACCCAGTGTCTATTCTAGGAGGGATGATTCACTCCTTTTTTTTAAAGAATTTGCCGGCAGGAGGAAAATTTTACATAGAGAAAGAAGGAAAAAGTTCAACAAATGTAATAAATTCACTCTTTTTGTAAAAAAAAATTCCCCAGTTTTCGAATCCTAGAATAGACACTGAGTACCAACGGCCTTTCGTCAATCAAAGGATGGATAAAATCTCAACATTTTGTCATCAGAAAAATTACCTCAAAACTTTGTTTAAGTGCATCCACACCAAGGAAGAACAAAATCTGCCATGTCTGCTCCTCTGCCTTCAATTTTTGCCATATTTTATGTAACCTTTCATATGTGTGTATTCCGAGACAAGTAAGTACCTCCTCCTGGGCGATATCTAACGTCTTGGCATGTCTGTCCCGTCTTCCGTTACTATAACAATTACAGCATTATCATTAATCTTAACTGAATGGTATATTATTCTGTTTGCAAAACAACAATTTCATTATCAATAATTAGGGCTGTCATTGCTGGAATATTTTGTATCAATATATCGAGAGTCAAATTTTGACGTATTTATCTATTTATTTCATGCTTTCCAGTGTTTTACTGTAATATATCAGATAATTATATTCTGATAAACCACTTGTGAAATTTATAAAATATAATTTTCACTGTAGCCGGACTATATCTGAATGCGGATGAAAAGAATATCATAACTAAATGGAATAACAGGCAAAAATAAATGCAGTTATACGTAAATTTTGCTTCTTTAGGAAAAGAAAGTCGATGCCATCATACATCATGTTAAAAATGTAACAAAATTAAGAAATTTTACAGATCTATATTTCAAAATTGATGATGTGACGTCATGATATGATGACGTCATAAGGAGAATGCGCGACGTTACGCGGCAAAATCAGTTAAAAATACTTAAATTCACTTTAAAAGCATGAAACAAAAAGAAAATTTATTTGTTTCACATATAAGATTGAAATATATTTCATTCGTGAACACCAGCTATTATATTTTCACTCGTGGCTAAGCCACTCATGAAAATATTGCATCTGGTGTTCACTCAGTGAAATATATTTCAATCTTGCATGCAAAACAAACAAATATCCTCTATGTATCGACTTTGACAGTAAATACAATGAAAAACATTTATATATGTGTTATAAATTGGGATCATGATGTTTTACGCTTGTATTAGACATTACAAATAACTACAAACTAACAGAAAATTTGTTTTTTCTTTCTGATATTTTTGTACTGGCATTTGAAACGGAGATTAAAGTTCAAGTTAGCCTCCTTGGTATTTTTCATGCTATAAAAATAATGAATTGATTTATTATTCTGTACAAGTCTGACCGTCTCATAAAAACATCACAAATCAATAGCTAAAATAATTATTTTCTTACTCCGAGTTTAATATAACCAAATATTCCAAACCTTAATTCAATTGTCTTGAATATACGGTAGTCAACTGGCGTATATGTATACTGAGTAAGTCAAATAATAAGTCTAACTTGCATTGTGTTTTCTACATCTTCTGGAGTAAGTCCTGCACCAACTAATCTCTATTTTTTTAACCATAAAACATAGTAAAGTGGTAAGAATGAAGATGATATAATAGCAAAAGTGTTAATTCTTGCACAATCTTTTAGAACAACGGAAATGTTCTAGCATACGAAAATGGGTACAAACACTGTTTCGTTCTAATAAAGGGAAATAAAGCATTCAAAATCATACCTTCCGATGATTTCAGGTTCTGCTCGGCCAATAAGATGTGCTATAAAGTCTGTATCACACAACATGTGAATATGCCGTTCCTGAGGACAGCACCGCAATCCCTCGTACAACGCTGGACAATAACCTTTCTCCTTTGCACTGTCTATATCACCAACTAGAATACTGTATGCACGCAACACTTTCGATTTACATTCTGAACAAAACCTGAAGAAGAAAATGGTAGAAATTATTCAATATATACACAGATACAGTATAACTTTGCAAATAGTTGAAGGGACTTGCCTTAAAACATTCCGACATTGGGACTTTGACTTGTGTATCGGGCTCAGTTTACTACTATTGGAAAATTTCCGAGACATCAGCATTTATAAAATCGCAACAAAAGGAAGGGTGATATCTTAAAAAGGTTACTGTAAATATATCCTATATCATTGTCATCTGACATAGGGTCTGCATTAACCTACACTTCACGATCAGTAATAAACCTGAATTGTAAAGTTTCACAGAAGTTTATATTCTTTACATACCATTGCAACTAGATGATAACAATGAAAGCATATTCTCACACATAGAAAAGCATATGAAGGTTGTAAGAATATACGGCTAAAAGTACAAATACATCTGTCACACAAGTTGATGGGCATTCATCATCAAGGAAAAAAGGTGAGACAAATACCTTGATATCTAAGGTGGGAAATAGCCGCAGGTTTTTGACTTAATGAAACATACTCAAATCTTTCTATCACAACACATTAAAACTTTAACAATTCAGAAAATTTGACACATAAAACTCTGACATACATAGCTTTTTAAAAGAAAATATAGGGAAACAAATCAAGACTTTTTTTTTTAACTCAAAACCTATATATAAACCAACTAATCGAAGTTGGGCACACAGAAATTTTTCTCTGTATTACTCTTTTGAAGAAGAGAATGCTTTGACCAAAATTTTACATTGGACTCACGAAATTCTAAATAACATACCTGTGTTTTCTAAGGTAGTTTTCTAGGGTATCAAGTAAGCTATCAGCATCCACTAATACAACTTCTTCTCTACATTCTTGAGACAACAGATCCCAAATATCTATCCAACTCCTGCAGACATATATATAAAATAACTTTCATCGCATTGTAAAATAAGTTTAATGGTGCAAGGAATTACTGGTTGCAATGCAGAGTTGGCCCCACAGATACCATGCTACAAAACCTTTGTAATGAGTTATTTTCTATAAAATTTGATAAAAATATAGTACAAGGTATTTTCTTTAAAATTTGATAAAAATTTATTATTATTCTTTAAAAAGTCAGGCAATGAAACCTTGTAAATAAACATATACCTTATTGTTATACTTTATCAATGACAACATCAACTTACCCTGTTGTTTTAGTTTTATGAGTCTCCAATGAGTGTAAGTTACATCTTTTATTCTTTTTACTTTTTGGAATAGCATCTACCATAGTTGATAACTTTGCCCTGCAAAACAAATGTTCAAGATTTTTCATATAGGTTTTTCTTTTCGGCATAAATTTATACACATTTGATAATCACAACTTTCATTTCTATCTTATCATTTAATATACAACCAACTTTGTTACCATTGGGTAGAAATCAATCAAAAGTATTGTTTCGTAAAGCAATGCACTAACATTCAGAAGTTAGTTGAAATAATATATGAACTGATAAGTCTAAAATTGTATGAGTTCTGAAGAAATTGGCCATCACCTTCAACACACAGTCATTTTTTGTATTCACAATGTACTTCTTAATATAATTTCACAAAAAAGAAATTGTGTCGTGACGCGGCTCATATGATATAACACATGGCCAAACTTACCCATGAATATAGAAGAGAGAATATAAGGCTCTAGGATCAAACAAATAGTTTCTATTGATAGACATAATAGCACTTTTGGTGACGATTAGAGGCTCCAGTGCAGGGTGTTGTGAATCCACTAATTGGGTAAATAGTCTCTCCACACTGAAATCATATAAAAACAACGTAACTGTCAATCATTTCTGTAATATAACATGTTAATTTTTATTATTCATCTTGTTCTTTCTTAGATGCTAAGCTCACGCTGTTGGTAGCTTTTTGCAATAATTTTATAAGATTGGCGTTTTTGTGCATTTTGGCTAAAGAAAGTCGTGATTATGTTATACACCTATGGCTATCAGTGTTTGACTGTTCGTATAAGGTGTAAAGGTCAATAAAGAATTTGGTTTATACAATTAACACCAGTGGGATGGTTTTTAACAAGTGTTAACTTATTTTTGGTTACATCATCATGTTAATTGATATAGTCCAAAGCAATAAAAAAACATTAGAGGTAAATACTTAAAAATATTGTTCAACATAATCAAAGCCACATAATATTCGTGGTTTTAAAGTTAACAGCCTTAATACAAGCCAACCAAATATTGTGCTGTAAATTACAAATTTTGAAGAAAAAAAATAAGCTGCTTGATTAAATCACCACTGGTTAACAAAGTTAAATTGGTGATGGATACATTTTTTCGGTAAGTGATTCAGAAAACTAGAAATGTGTCATCATGCCACGGATGCCCCCGCATGCAGCCAAAATTTCAGATGTTATAATATTTAGTTCCAAATTTGTTTGCACAAATTATTTTTTTAATTTTAAGTTCAAAGCCCTTAAAACTGTTCAATGTTAACACAAACCATTTTCATACAATGTTCAAGGCACTGAAATTATTCAGTCTTAACCTTTTGAAAAAAGCATATTTCATATTTGTAGCCAAAATAATGGCTACATACATTTCCACAAAAGTATGAGTGCTGAAACTGAAAATTCAAAATTTTTCCAACATTCAAGAAAGATAAGTTTGTCCAAAATCATTGAACCATGACCAAATTCAAACTTAAACTGCTGTTCCTAAGATGTATCTATATTATTTTCAAAGTGAAAGGGACATAACTCTGCCTAAAATCATCGAACCATGACCAAATTTAAACTTGACCTGCGCCTTCCTTTGACATATTCATATGTCAAATTTGAGTTTAATATGTAACACTGTTGGGTAGATAATGAACAGAAACTGTAAATTTCATATTATTTTCAAAGTGAAAGGGGCATTACTCTGCCAAAAATCATTGAACCATGACCAAATTCAAACTTGGCCTGGGCATTCCAAAAACATATCCATATGTCAAATTTGAGTTGAATGTGTTGTACCATTGGGGAGATAATAAACAGAAACTGAAAATTTCATATTATTTTCAAAGTGAAAGGGGCATAACTCTACCAAAAATCATCGAACCATGACCAAATTTGAACTTGACCTGTATTTTTTCATGATATATCTATATGTCAAATTTGAGTTGAATGTGTTGTACCGTTGGGGAGATAATAAACAGAAACTGAAAATTTCATATTATTTTCAAAGTGAAAGGGGCATAACTCTGCCAAAAATCATCGAACCATGACCAAATTCGAACTTGACCTGTATTTTTTCATGATATATCTATATGTCAAATTTGAGTTGAATGTGTTGTACCGTTGGGAGATAATGAACGGAAACTGAAAATTTCATATTATTTCAAAGTGAAAGGGGCATAACTCTGCCAAAAATCATCGAACCATGACCAAATTCGAACTTGACCTGTGTTTTTTCATGACATATCCATATGTCAAGTTTGAGTTGAATGTGTTGTACCGTTGGGGAGATAATGAACGGAAACTGAAAATTTCATTTTATTTTAAAGTAAAAGGGGCATAACTCTGCCAAAAATCATCGAACCATGACCAAATTCGAACTTGACCTGTATTTTCTCATGACATATCCATATGTCAAATTTGAGTTGAATGTGTGCAACCGTTACTAAGATAATGAACGGAAACTGATGATGACGGAATGACAGAATGACGGAAGGACGGAATGACGGAAGGACGGAATGACGGAAGGACGGAACAGGGTAACACTATATGCCCCGGCCATTACATGGCGGGGGCATAAAAATGGGCTTCATTCTGTGAATGTCTTTGCAAGTTCAATTTCTATTGGTTGATATGATCTACCTGTAATAATTTTACTCAATCATTAAAGTGCCTCTGTATAGTTAATGTACGATAAATAAACAAAAAAAAAAAATTTCCTCCAAGACATGTTGAAATGATTCATTTGCTTAGTACAAAAAAAAGCATTTTTTTTTTACTTTGAAATAACTTCTATATCGGTTTCCCAAATTTGAAAAACCCAAGTCTATTAATAGCTCTACCTGTAATTAATAGTAATAGCTCTACCTATAATTAATATTAATAGCTCTACCTATAATTAACTATAAATACAATTACAAATGTTTATTAACAATTGCACTGTTGATTGCATTCACCCTGAACTATAAACACAAACCACAATTTCCATGCATTTTTGCTAAATCTCAAATAGAAAAATTCATAACACTATTTGCACTGTAGACTGATGATATTTTAAGCTTTTACTGAAAACCATTTTCTGCTATTTATAAACTGTTTGTCACCCTATCATTTGTAGGGTAAATTAATATCTTACTTTGTAAGTCATATTATAGGAAACAAACTTTATTTCACTCTAAATAAATTTAATCAATGGAACATATATCAAGTTGTTTTTTAGAACATGAGGCAGAATAATCAATAAAATTGTTTTCCAGTAATTCTAAGATATATAACATTCTTATTTTGTTCTATCTGATTCTATGAAAGAAAATAAGTTGAGCTATCAGTAGTTTGAGTATCCTTGTTAAACTGAAAAAAATCTCAGATGAAATGTATATTTAACCAACTACTTATGTTGTTAATTGCAAAATTATGAATAGTCTACTGAACTTTTGGCTATGATCATTTAAAGATAAAAATGTTGGCTATTCTTTTTAAGCCAGAGTGAGCTCTGTAGTTGGAGCAAATGAAACTTCTTAGAATGGCATTTTACTGTTTGCTAAGCAACTTTAAATTTTAATCTTGACATAGCTAAAATTGGTAACTGACAGTCCCAAAAACAAAAGCCATGAAAGTTCAACTGAGAAATTCAGCAGGTATTACTGTTTTAATTACAAGAAGGATCTATTTTCCTCACCTTCTCCTACAACCAACACAAGGTACTAGATGGGTAAGTAAGTTCATAATATCTTTACTGGTGACCATCATGGCCACAGCAATCTCGTCCTTGGATAAAGCACTAAACCTCTGTACAAAACGCTCCATATCCTTACACTTAATACCATTAACATGATCACAATCTATACATTTGTCCGCAAACTGAACAACCATCTGGAAAAAAAAGTCAAAAATAAAATGCCTTGATACAAACGCACAAAAAGATTAAGGTAACAAGTTTATTAAGTCACAAAAAAGTTTATTAAGACACAGATCCTTAAGACAAAGGGGATATCACCAAAAACAAACACATGTATTAACTATTACTTAAATTGCAGTATTTCAACATGTATGCCATTAAATATTACAACATCTACATGTAAATTTATGCATTAAGTGACCTGTTACATAGGGGAAAGTAGAGAATTGTGGAGAAATTCAAATTTAGTTTGCCTATATTGTAGTTCAGAAATTTTCTCAGAAGCTTAAATAGTGGGACTGGGAAGTCATGTACATGTAAGTGCAACTCAAAGTGTGGGGACATTTGGCAAACATTATACAAAGATCTGATTTGACAATTATAATTTCACTATTAGTATATGGGAGCTTGATGAGTGTAGGACAAAAGCCCTCCCAGACTAAAGCCCTCATATCCAAAAATGACAAGGCGGACAAAAAGCCCTCCAGTGAAAATGACAGGGCGGACTAAAGCCCTCCCATGAAAGTAACAGGGCGGACAAAAGCCCTCCCGCAGCAAATACATATAATTTTATATGTATGTTGTTACACTTAATTCTTTCTTTTCAATGCACTCAACATATCTTGAAACATCTCAGAAAGGTATATTCTGAATCGATGAAAGGTGGTTCTTGCTCATACTTAAACTTAGGCCAATTGAAAACAACAACAAATATATATGTGACAATTTTAATATGCTGAGTGCATTGGAAAAAACCCAGGTATTTAACATACATTATATATTTTTGTTATGGGAGGGCTTTTGTCCACCTTGTATATTTCAAGGGAGGGCTTTTGTCTGCCTTCTTAATTTCACCAGAGGACATTTGTCCGCACACTGTCATTTTCATGTGAGGACTTTTGTCCACCTTGTCATTTTTGAATGGAAGGGCTTTTGTCTGTTTCCCAAGCTAGATAGTAATTTTGTTCTAGATGATCAAGTGGTGATTGTTATGATATTTTGTCACAGGCAAGACGCCAAACGGCTGTCATAACAAATCAAAGAGCAGAGCTCCAGATAGCGTGCGTATAAGCGTAAAATACGCATAGAAAATCTAAAATACGCATCACTTTCAAAATTCGTGCGTCACAGTTACGCACAACAAAATGAAAATACGCTCGTATGTCAAAATTTATGCGTAAAAGAATAGAAGTATAAACATTTGATATGTAGAAAGAAAATTTTTTGAGCATAAAATAAAATATATTTCCATTTAATTGCATTGAAAACTAAAAATTCTGTTGTCAACAACGCATGTTAAAAATGAAAGTAGCAGGAAATACAGAAGGGAGGTAACTCCCGTAGATCTATCAACCTGTGAAATTATTGATGAAATTTGTGCCAGATAATCATCGTAGGCGTTAACACAGTATTAAGTTTGTTTAGGCATCCATTGACATACTCAATATAAACAAAAAAATATATTTTAATAAAATTTCTTTAACTTTAGTTGTTGGAACAAAATAACATGTTATTCACCTGCAGTCTTGTACTCAATATTTTCGTACCCAGTATACAGTTACGGCCAATTTTCTCTCAGACTAATAATTTTTTTTAAGGAAAGATGAAAAAACTTGTTTATGTTTCTTTAATTCTAATTACAACTATTATTGTTCAAACTGGAGTACATGATAAGGTACATGCCAACAAAAATAAAGAAAGAAAAATATTGACTCCTAGAAAATAAAATAACTTGAGGGCTTCCACTAGTGGAAGTTTGGGAGTCTTTTACTCCTTCAATTGGCCTAGGTGACTTCCAAAAATCAATACTTTCCTTCTTTACCTATATAATTTGACTTCCAATATCAGAGATTTTGAAGTCTTTGACTTCCAAATTTTGAAAATGGAAGCCCTGATAATTTTGCTGTGTATCCTAAACTTGAGTTCCAGTATACTCTGGAAGTCTGACTTTACATGGCATGTTTTGTATTGTTTCACATTAAATCAATATTTAATCTGTAAAGGTTTTTCTAAAAAAAAAAAATAACCAAACAAACACAACAATAAGTTTAATTTGTTTATAAAAAATGCAAAATGCTTTTTTGACAGATTTTACCCCTTAAGTTTTTCAGAATTTGCATTTTACCCCTCACTCTAAATTTTGAGGGGTAAAAACCCCTTGGCCAAAAAAATTATCTGGAGCTCTGAAAGAGTGCCTTCACAGACAGCCAATACACAAATTAACTATTGCACTTGTCACAGTTCAGAACTGTTCACTATTAAGGGGAGATAATATGTAAGTGGCTGGATAGCTCAGTTGGTAGAGCCGCGGTACAGGAATTCCAATTCCAAGTTCGAATCCCGTCAAGCTGCACATTTTTCTCAACCTGTGAAATTTGGCGACCAACATGGGGGCCTCGTGATTGTATAAGCTCCCGAGTCCAATTTCACATTGTTCTCTGTAGCTTTTAGAAATTCGAGGACGAATTTCAATCTAGCAGATCAGAACTGCTCGTTATTTACGGGGAGATAATGTGAACTGTAAGCGGCCGGATAACTCAGTCGGTAGAGCCGCCGTTCGATATTCCGGGGGTCCCGGGTTCGAGTCCCGGTAAGACTGCACATTTTTATCACCCTTTGACACACTGATTTGGATATGAAACTCTTTGGCAAACTCAAATAGAAAAAAGAATGTGGGTGGGGTGATTTTTGACCTTGTTTCACAACGTATCTATCTACAGATTTGTAGAATGTACGATTAATCTTAATTTTGTATGTAACATATATAAAATCATATTTGTTAACTGAGCATCATCATTGCACAGTAAACTTACTGTAAGTGTGTCGTCAACAACCAGAGGGATTTGCCTTCTTTCAAATTGATAATCCTCAGACCGAGAAACTGCTATTAATTTCGCCATTATTATGGTCTAGACTTTAATGACAGTTCTACAGATTATAAAATGAACATTAATGTATACAATAAACAACTTCTCGTTTTTGCTAGGCTCCAATTCTAGCAGTATTTACGTTAAAAATATTTTGCCCCATATAGGAATTTCCTTGACTTCGAGTTTAGTGACCGCATAACACAGCCACCGAGAATTAATCTTCCGCGATGTCAATTTCTAAACTGGCATATCAGATTACTTATTTAACAAGAAATTGATTGTTTCTTTCAATGATTATCTTGTTATACTCTTAAACGATGGTATATTGCCATAAATAGTATTATAAACATAAATAAGTGCGTAATAAAACAACATGGATGAAAAATAGTTCTTGGTCACGCGCACCCTAGTGGCAAATAGTATTCCAACGGGAAATTACTCTAAACTCATATTTGGGAGGAACAACTCGTCACTGGTATTGTAAATTTGTTGATAAAAATTTGGAAATTATTTGAGCTTCCATTTGAATCATTCTGATGTTCTTTTAGTTTGTAATGTCCTTATAACTTCAATCTTGCGAGACATTTTGCTTGACTTTTAAGTAAACCTACTTAAAAATAACATTTTGCATTAAACTTGAATAGGTTTCGGATATGACTAAATTTGCAGATGATATTGTTTAATTTGTTATACAGTAAGTAAAATACTGTCTTAACATCAGGTCAGAAACTCTTCAAAAACAAATACCTTAGAAATGTTTGACATGGATTGTGACATCGAATCCTATTTGTTATGCTTTGTCATTTTTAACGCAAGAATTTCCATGATATTTAATGTCATCAGGGTCTTCCAATCAAATAGATTCTATTTAAATAGACCCTTATGTGGTGATATAGAACTGTTGATTAAAACTACATTTCTTACACCATTCAATCTCTTAAAAGATGCAAATTCACTAATCTAAAGGTAGCCAATTAATTTACGCAACCATTTTATTCTAACTTTTTTTTTTATATATCTTGTATAATTATTATTACTGAAAAATAAAGGTGGCAAATATCATTAATATGTGCGAAACAAACTGTGTCAAGTCATACATAAATCCCATTTATAATGTAATAGTATATATTAAATTGACAGCTGATTTACTTATTATACAAATGCTAAATTCTATATTCTACTTACTTATAACAGAATTACATTGCTTGTTTTTCTGACTGTGTGTGTGTGATTTGCAGGGCTTATAAGTTTATAAGCTTTAATAAATGGTACATGTACTTGAAAGTATCTTGTTAAATCTACATTGTATGTCCATATTTTTGCCAAATTTTGTATATATACAAACTTGACCTTGTATTGAATCTGATTATGAGCAATTGTAAATTTGTATGCTTGTAAAAAAGACATAATATTATAGTTGTAAAGTTTGTCTTAACATTTGCCTTAGAATTGCTTAATATTATGTTATATAGATTTAACATTATTAATATGAAACTTCTTCTTTGTAAGAAGTTTTAAGAACTTGCTTCTATTAACTTTTAAAACAGTGTTTTTCCCCACTTTTTGGCCACTAAATTGTAAAATTTTGAGTTGTGAAATTAGCTAAGTAAATTTGGGGAAAAATAAATCGACCATCACTGTCACTAACAACTGACAAATAATAAATATAGAATATTTTTAAAGAATGGTTTGAATTAAATGATAACCTATCCCACATTTCTCTTATTAAAAGAGGAGGAAAAAAAGAAGGAAACACTGTACAAATAAATGTAGTGTATGGATAAAGTTGCTTTGGTAGTTTTTATGTTTATTATATAACTAATTTTCAGGCTGTGTTTCTAACATAAATGTTGCTTTGTTTAAAGTGTTCATGAACCAGAATTCATCCAATATGATGAGAAGACACAGCAGGTTGAAAATCTTCACTGGGATACTCATCCCAGTTTGTTGTCTCTACTTTCTAAGTATGTGTTGTTTGTTATTTTATTTAAATGGACTCCACTGAAGTTTTTTGACATGCGGGGACTTGAAATAAATTTTCGAGATTAATGTTTCATTTGATGTAGGTCTAGACAAATAACTTGTGTGAAAAATTTCAGATCATTTATCAAAATAAGTATTCTTATTGTATGAAATATCCAAAATTGAAAAGCGTTGCAACACTTTTCGCCTGAATCTGGCTAAGAATAGTACAAGAATACAGTTTGAAATTTATTTCTCAGAATATATCTTAATTATTTTTAGAGTATCGTTCTGTTTAAGTGCCCTAGCTGATCTACATAAAGAAATTAAGATTTTATGTAATTTGTTTTTAGGCTTTTGGGCCTCAGTGGAGCTCCTTTTAAACATATTTGTATGCACATATAATAATTATTGTGTTAGAATATAATATAGTCATGATGCATTGCTGTTAGAATATGCTTTGTTTTGATGTCATATCATGCTGTGTAATACATTATACTAAAACCTTTAACTATTCAGAGTACACTATCATCACTATTCATCAGATATGCACAAAGAACTTTAAGCATAAATAAATGTATTCAAATTTTATGATCATACTATCCAAATTTGTAATGAATAGTAAAGGAAGAAAAGTAAACAGTTATTATTTCAACCTTTTGAAAAGAATGGTGAAAATTGAAATGTAATGACTAGAAATGTTGTGGGAAAAAGTTGCTGACTCTGAAAAAAGTTGACCCTCATTTCTGCGGGTTTGAATCTTGCCAGGAACTTATTTTCTTTTGAGCAGGCTATACGGCTAGTAAAAAGGAGGTTGATTGTTCTACTCAGATGCCTGTTTTATTTTTGCCTGAACTAATGCAATGAACAGGATTAGTTTGTATAGTAAGTCATTATGACTATAGCAGTGTTAATGTGCCACAAAACTCAACTAAAACTAACAAAAATATGGATAGAGTATGTTTAAATTACAATTCATGAAAATGATTAATGGACAGGACACACAAATGATGGAATATTTGAATTATAAGAATACACCCATATAAAAGTAAACTAGTGGAATCTTGTTGATGGGTAACAGTAATTGAGTTTTATAATAATCTATATTAAAATATATATATAAACCTAAAAAAACAAGAGTGTTTCATATAAGAATAAGAGTATTTCATATAAAAAATACCCTGTCAAAGTCATATATACATTAACATTGTAATTTTGTATTTTCTAACCTTTCAGTGACCAGGTTTATTAATTTTGATGAAGTTGAAGGTATGTACAAAATTGTAATCTTGCTATCTTTCTGTAACTGTTGGTCAATTATTAGAAGTACATTTTATTACATTTATTTAATCCATAGGGTAATTATATATTATATTATTATAAGAGCTATTATAGTTCTGTTTAAAAGCAAACAATAATAGATTACGGATTTGTAATGTTTATATTTGTAGTGATTGAAGAAGTATTTTTTTAGCCGGTCTCTTGTAATATTTGCAAGTCAGTGTTTTTAACTTAATTTAGTTACACTATTTATTACGTTTATTTTCTTCTGATTTTGATTAACAAATGGAGGTAATTAACATATTTTGCAGTGAAAGAATCTTTAAACAATGGTAAACCATGCCTTGCTAGTCTTGGACCAACAATGAAAGAAAACCTAGAGAAGGTTAAATCCTACTCCTTCCCAGAGGCAGAGAAATATATCAAAGGTATTTTAACCTGTTGCATATTTGTGCCTTCACTTTTCGGTGAATAACAAATTACTGTGATGTTTTTATAAAACTATATACAAGACTGCTGTCAATTAATGAATAGGATAAAAAGATTAAAACCAACACAGTTTATCAAAACATGTTTCCCTTTAATAAGCTACATCAGTTGATGAATAACAAAGGAAAATCTTATTTGATTAACTATGAAATTAATTAGGTCATTTCATTTATTTTTCTCTATTATTAAAGGACGTTTTATGTATTAAAAATAGGTTACAAAGATTTTTGACAGGTTATATGGTGGTACATAAACAGTTGTTTGCAATGTAACTCTTGCCCAGTGGCTTGGGTTACATATGCAAATGTCTATTCATTTAGGGCCATATAACCTATTGAAAATCTATTAAAACCCATTACTCTTGCGTGGATATTGACTGAATTATAGCCCTCTGCACATGAAGTTTTGTATTCAATCCTCATTGTCATTGAACCAAATATTTTATCAGTTTTGTTTGTTTGGTTTCAGAATTATTTCCACCCTCGCTACCAGATGAGACCAGCCTTCCCAAGATGCCAGTGTTTGTTACTGCGGCCTCCGCCAGCCATTACACAGAATTTATGGAGCTCCTTCATAATGTTTCAGCAGTAACAGACAAATACACTGATATTAAACTAATCATTTATGATTTAGGATTATATAAATCCCAAATTAAAGAGGTAAAGAGATAACCATATTACCATGTGTGTTTTAGATTAAAGATTACATAATTCCCAAATTAACCATTGCAAGTTCAAAATGAAGAGTAATGCACATCAACATCAGGGCAAGTTTACAATATTTAATTGGAGTCTACTAGTTTTGGTCACTTTATGACCTTCATCAGGACCAAATTAGGTAGAGGAAGAACAATATGATTTAATAAAATCAGCTTCTAAATATAATTGTCAATTTCTATCACTTTCTTGTGTTGGCACTTGATTATAAAATTGCTTGTGTACTGAAAACTGCTTGTGGTGCAGCACAGGCAAAAGTCGACAGGACAACAAGATGGAAATGAAAGTAAATTTGGCATTTTAGTGAGAAGGCAACAAGAAAGTAATAGGAATTAGTCACCATATGTCATTATTGCTTTGCTGATGTTTAACACAAGTCAGATTATCATCACTTTAGTGCAATAATTGGCTAACTCCTATTAAATTCAGAAGGACTTAAACCGTTACTGTACTAACTTGACATATCCAGGATTATATAATTCCCAATTTATTGAGGTAAAGAGCTAGGAATATTCATTATTGACATAATTTATGATTTCCAAATTAAAGTGACATTATACTCAAACAAGGGGCTTAATTTTGAAAGCAATATTTTTGAAGTTATGCCCAATTTGACTTCAGAAATTTTAACAGACAAGCGTTATGCCATATGCAGTGCTCTAATATCGCTGTCTAGTTGAATAAGTTCTAGATGTATTTCATAAGATAGGCTATTATAATGGTAATTGACCAAGAACTGAAAATGAAAAAATGTTTATGATACAGTTTAAAAACTACCTAAATTATAAAAAGACAGCCCCACTCTTTTTAAGAACTCACTGTTACCAATACATTTTGAACATAATAATAATTATAGATATTCATAGAAATTGGTCATCTGGATTATTGATAATATTTTCATATTGAAATATAAATCAAATACCATTGTGGCAAAATGTTTTTATTTTTACCTGTTCGCTGACCATTTACACTTAATTGGATGGGCATGTCACTTAAAATGGGTAAAATCATTTTGACACTCGTAAGTTGGAACATGCATATTGAATTAAGTATGATCTTGAAAAAAAAAAAAGACTTATATACAACTTAAAAATGAAACAAACACAACTTAAAAATGAAACAAACAAGGGCATTTGATCCTTTATAAAATTCCAAGCATTCCTTTAGTATTTTTACTTAAAAAATAATATATCTCAAACAGTGATTTTATCGCTAAATAAAATCACTGGAGTTCAGATGCTAGGAATTATATCATGAAGGGGTGTTAGAATTCTTGTCAATATTGATGAAAAATTAGTTAACGCTGAGCCAGGTGATTGAATTGTGCGGTACTTCTGGTTGCATACCATGTAATTTAATGAGTTGATAAATTTTGTAATTTGACTATATTTTCTTCTTCAGATAGAGAGTGTTTGCAAGTGCAGTGTGAAAAAGTTTCCATTTGCAGATCTTCCAAAGCATGTGAAAGAGCTAAAAGGCTATGCCTGGAAGCCTGTGGCTATACAAGTAGGTTGCATCGCGTGATTTTATTAATAGAACTATGCCAGTACATTTATTTTAGTTCGCTTGTGTAGGAAACTATGAGCTTGAAGTTATAGAAACATTTTAGAATCCATTCCTTTAAAAACAAATAGTACTAAGCAATTAGTGTAATGTTCTCCCTCAAGGAATCAACAGCTAACCCCTGATGGGGTTTGAACCCACGCGCCTAATTGTATTTAGATTACTAATCTGAAACATTAACCACTTAGCCATGCAGTCGGTTTGTGTGCACAGTAATCAAAGCAATGAGCTCTGTAGCTGTTATGGTTTGTTAGATGCTTAGTAACAAATAACTGTTATCAATAGGCATCTGATTGTAGTTTGAGCCGCGTCACGACAAAACCAACATACTGCATTTGCGACCAGCATGGATCCAGACCAGCGTGCGCATCCATGCAGTCTGATCAGGATCCATACTGTTCGCTATCAGTTTCTCTACTTATAATAGAGTTGGTAAGCGAAAAGCATGGATCCTGATCAGACTGCGCGTGACACAGCTCATTTTTTTTTTTTTGTATTTACTAAAAATATAACGCTTAATTTTTCAATTTGCAGCTTGCTGCCAAGGATCATCCGTTTGTTATTTGGATGGATGCGTCAGTGAGGTTTACAACCACCGACCTCGATGCTCACTTTGAGCGAGCTCGAAATCTTGGTGTCATGGCAACAAGGGGATATGCTGCAATAGCCATGAGAACACATCCGAACACATTCCGCGTATTCGGCGAGGAGGCGTGCACTTTTAAAGCAACCAATGAGCTGGAAGCAACTCTGATTCTCGTCTATGCAAACAAATTTGTTTCCGAGTTTTTCCTTAAACCGTGGGTATCTTGTGCTTTGACATACGGATGTATTGTGCCGGAGAGCAACAGTATCAGGTTTATAGGCTGTGATAGAACTGATCAACAAATCTATTTTGATTGTCATCGATTCGACCAATCAGCTTTGAGTATTTTAATGTATAGATTATATGAGAAAGACATAGAGCATCATAAGATGAACCATTCTTTCTTCCGATTCTGTAAAGGGGCCGATGAGCAATGGTATTTCCCTCAGTTTATTAATGAACTAATGATCAAATCCCATGAAAAATGTTTTTGATCAAGGTCAGGGTAATACCTCTAAGCTAATGACGAGAAATTTTATTTTTTTACATGCTGAAAAGGGACCATAACTCAGGAACTGAAACTTGATTATCAATTAAGTGTGAATGTTAAAGCTTTATATAAAAAAATACTTGAAAGTGATATTTTTGATATTTTTTTGTTAAGAGAATGTTTAATTTATGAAATTCAATAGCCATTAAAGGCTTTTATTTTATCTTTTTATTGAATTACATGTTTTGCTAGGAAATAGTTAAAGCTGCAAAGCTCAAGATGAGCAGAAAAAAAAGAAGAGATGAGCAGAAAAAAAAGAAGAATAAAAAAATAAATTAAAAAAAATGCAGTAGTCTATTAATAATCTGAAATTTTTCACAATCCATAAAAGTTCCACACTAATTTTTATCACAAGGGATTTTTATCCCTTATCTTGGGTTGGGTCCGCAAAATTTTGTATTTTTAGTGTTAAGAAATTATGTAAGTTTAAAAAAAAAAAGATTTGCGTTATTTGCCAAAATTATGAATTTTTATATACACTGTGATTTTTTCCCGCTGTTTTGGAAATAGAAACATTAGGCATTTTTGCCATTGGGAATGTATCCATATGCTGGAACTGTCTAAAGGAGGAGAAAAAATACCTGTATCAGCATATCTCTACCCAGATAGGGTACGGACTATTTTTGTATAATTCATCACATGTTAGCATAAGTTATTGTCCCCCGCCTTTTCGAAGAAAAAAGGGGGATATAGAAATAGGCTCCGTCCGTCCATCCGTCTGTCCGTCCATCCGTCTGTCCGTCCGTCCGTCACACTTTCGTGTCCGGTCCATAACTTTGTCATTTATGAAAGGAATTTGAAATAACTTGGCACAAATGTTTATTATAATAAGACGATGTGTCATGCGCAACAACCAGACCCCTACCTCCAGGGTCAAGGTCGCACTTGCTCATTCAAGGTCAACATTGCCTATTTGAGGGTATATGTCGTGTCCGGTCCATAACTTTCTTATTTATGAAGGGATTTTGTAAATACTTGCCATAATTGTTCACACAATAATCAGACGATGTGTCATGCGCAAAAAACCAGTCACCTACCTTCAAGGTCAAGGTCACACTTTGGAGGTCAAATATTAACATAGTCTGTTACAGGATATATTTCGTGTCCGGTCCATAACTTTGTCATTTATCAAAGGAATTTGAAATAACTTGGCACAAATTGTTTTTTATAATAAGAGGATGTGTCATGCGCAACAACCAGATCCGTACCTTCAGGGTCAAGGTCGTACTTGCTCATTCAAGGTTAACATTGTCTATTTGAGGGTATATGTCGTGTCCGGTCCATAACTTTCTTATCTATGAAGGGATTTTGTAAATACTTGCCATAATTGTTCACAATAATCAGACGATGTGTCATGCGCAAAAAAACGGTCACCTACCTCCAAGGTCAAGGTCACACTTGGAGGTCAAATACTTACATAGTCTGTTACAGGGTATATTTTGTGTCCGGTCCATAACTTTTTCATAGATCCAAGGATTTGAAAATACTATGCACAAAAAGTCACTATATATAAGAGGATGTGTCATGCGCAACACCTGCATCCCTACCTCCAAGGTCAAGGTCACACTTAGAGGTAAAAAAATTAACATAGTCTGTTATAGGGTATATTTTGTGTCAAATCTAGAACTTCTTCATAGTTCAAGGGATTTTAAAATAACTTGGCACAAATAGTCACCATAATAAGACAATATGTAAGGTACAACACCTGCACCCCTACATCCAAGGTCAAGGTCACACTTAGAGGTCAAAGGTTAAAAGCAGTCTGTTATTTGGTATATTTTTGTCCCGTCCATTACTTCTTCATAGATTAAGGGATTTTGAAAATACTTGGGACAAATAGTCACAATGATTAGATGATATGTCATGCGTAACATCTGTGTCCCTACCTCCAAGGTCAAGGTCACACTTAGAGATCAAAGATTTACATAGTCTGTTATTATAAGGGTATATTTTGTGTCCAATCTATAACTTCTTCATAGTTCAAGGGATTTTTGAAAAATACTTGGCACAAATAGGTCTCAATAATAAGACGTTATGTCATGCACAACACCTGCCTCCCCTACCTCCAAGGTCAAGGTCACAACTTTAGAGGTCAAATCTTAACATGATAGATTTTTAAATTCCGTGTTTCATTTTATTTTTTTAACAAATTTATTGTTACATTTGCAGATCTAGCATTGATCATAATTTTGGAGTAAATGTCCTGAGATCCATTATAACCTCAATCTTTTGAAATAGCACAATTTTATGCTTCATATAAAATTTCCCGAGGCGGGGGACGTTGGTAACTCTGTTACAAATTCTTGTTTAAATGTGAAACTGTCACTGCCATATGATAACTTTTAAGAATCAAACACTTTTTACATATTTAACACATAGTGCCTTTGTAAACATGGAACAAAATAAATAGCCATAAAACCTGTTAAAAGTCTTCGTATGAACAAAATGTCTTTCTATAATTGAAATATGAATCTATTTGTAAATTACAAACAGTCATGTGTATGGCTAATGTAAGATTTAGAATCATCCAATGAAAATGACTGTTGCAAGTGGTAATATGATAAAGTCATATCTAATGATGATCTCAGTGACTTTTCAGCATTTGGGGGTATTTTGGCTGTTTAATATTGTTTTGCAATTTTTCTATCATCTGGGTACAGATCAAAGCAATACTGTTATTGGTTAACACCCCTTAAAGAACATACTGGTTAACTTAATATTGATCTTTATATATCAAAGATTTCAGGTTTCTGAATAACTGAAGTTTCAGTTTAGAATAATACCATAGCAAAGGTAGGGAATTAACCACACTTTTTGAAAAGAGGGGAATGTGTCCCAAAATCTGCCTGATTAATAGCCAAAATCACAATGAAATTTAAGTTACTACCATCTAATGGACATTATATTAAAGGGAGCTTTACCATTTTAGCTGCATGTCTCCAATTTAATGGTAATTTTCATGAATTTTCAAAAATGTATTTAAAACACAATATATTGTGAATCGAACAAAGAAAGAATAATTTACACGATATTAACGGCACTTACAATCCAAGTAAGTTACCAAAATATGCAGTAATAGCCCTTACTGTGTTAGTCACACAGTAGATATAAGGTGATGAATAATGACTTAATTAGCAATGAATTGCATATGACATGTAAATTATTACTTGAAACTGTATACTTTTCCTAAAATCTTTTTTTTCCATTTTTCCCAAGTTTGATTTTCTGGAAATATTTTGGCACATGTGGAGGCATGCAGCTTTAAACAAAATTTATCAAGTGAATTATTCATGTAAAATTTCATTTTTACAAGACAATGAGTGGTTGTTTCAAAATTTCTAAAACCATGAGTTTATTGACAATGTATGGTTGATGTGTCTTACCAATGTTTTGAAAACAGCGAGACATTTATGATTTAAAGGGACTCCACTGAGATTTTTTGACATGACAGGATTGAGGTATTTTTTTGAGAGTTGTGTACCAATTGATGAAGATCAGGACCAATAATTTGTGTGCAAATTTTTGGGTCATTCTCTCACCATGTTTTTTCTAGAATACTGGCATGCGAGCAGTTCCCGTACAAAAATCATAGTTACTTAAACATTATTTTTTATTACGCTCACTCACCAAAGTTTGAATTTTACACATCAATATTCGGCTCGTCACACAAATCATGGAAATTTCATCATGTTCTAAACATAGAATAACCCTTACTTATGAGGCCTCATATGGGGTACCGAAATTATCGAATATTTTGTATGAAGAGAAGTTATATATAATACAATTTTATTATATCGGACCTATTTTTCATTTACAATTGTTGAACAGACCATTATCTAAGAGATAAATAGATGTTATTCAGGAAATAGAGCGTTGACTAAACGCGGGTATCTGTTACCCGGTACCGTTACCCCAACGCATTCACATGCAATAGCTTGCTTCTATGCATGATATTTTACGCATCAAAGCCATAGAATTATTTTATATAGTAATATTGGTCAAAATTCTGATAATTAAACAAGTTTTCATCACATTGCCTACTTATCTGTAAACAGGTGGATTAAGTGGAAAACCCTTTAACAAGCCTCACGAGTAAGTATTTTTGCGCATGCGCGCAAGGACGGAATCCCCCAGAGAAAACAAGGTCACGTTTTGACGACGCACAGGTGAAAGTGATTTAAAATGAGACTTTTTATATGCACTGCCGAACTGACACTTAGATTTTGTCTCGTTTATGTATCTGCTTGATTTGAAATGAATTTTTGAAGAATGCAAGTAAAAATCAAGCGTTTAAATGAAAAATACGGGTACTGCTTCTGTACGGGAACTGCTCGCATGCCAGTAGTGCTTCACTTGATATTTGTAAGATTTGCAAATTTTATGTTTTATGGACCTCAGTGGATTTCCTTTAATATAAATGTAATTGTTGAGAAATGAACCAGTTCTTCCCTTTTTGTGTGTGTGTGTGTGTGTGTTGGTTTTTTGTTGTTGTTTTTGTTTTTTTATGAGTAATTCAATACAAATTGATTTGATAGTTTGATGCCCTTTGTATTTATCCCTTGTAATATTTCAATACAATTGTTCAGTACTTTTTTTATGACATTTTATATTGTATTTTTTATGTCTCACCTCAATTGTTACCCAAAAAAGCTGTAGTCTTTTTTCAGAAAAAGCAATAATGTTATTATTAAAACCTTTATTTAACCTTTATTTAAAAAAATGGCACTATATTAAAATGTTCTTAACTGAGTATGTTTTATACATGTATGTATGTATGTAAGTCACATGTTGATTTTTAATTTTTTCGATGCATTTTTACAAGTGGCTAGTCATGAGAAAGTTGTTGGGTTTTTTTTTGATATCTTAGGAAAGTGCCTTATGACATGTAATGGTTATGATGTAATTTGTTCTGTAAATTGTTGGATTTATTTTTGTAAGCGGTTGCCACAGACAAGTGGTTATGGTTGCTGACCACGTATCACATATCCCTCACAGTCACCACTGTGGGTTCAAAATTCTACCCATGCGGACCAGTGCCGACCAAGATCAGCCAGCACATCCATGCAGTCTCATCATGGTCTGCACTGTGCCAAGTGAATACTAATTTTTGAAATTTTTACCTAAAATGATAAAATGGTTTGATCCATATTGAAAAATGGATGAGTTCATTTAAGATATTTAAAGTGGTAAACCCATTAACCTGTAGTGATATGAATCTTATGTTGATCCTTTTCTGATGTAGTTTTTAAAGTGCC